TCTATTCTATTCTATTCTCTATTCTCTTCTATTTTATAATCTATTCTCTATTCTATTCTATTTTATAACCTATTCTATTCTCTTTCTTCTATTCTATTCTAATCTATTCTCTATTCTGTTCTATTTTATAATCTATTCTATTCTCTCTATTCTATTCTGTTCTCTATTCTATTCTATTCTATTCTATTCTATTCTATTCTATTCTATTCTATTCTATTCTAAGAGGGAAAGGTTTACCACCACTGTTTACAGATTTAAGCAAACAGATCATGCATGTTATTGGATATAACAGTGATATCATTAAATGATACGGGCAACTGCAAACCTTTGTCTGGATCCAGCATATAACACATTTCATGCAGTGCCTCTCAACCTTAGCAACTAAGATGATTAAAGGCCTGGGGACTAAAACATATGAAGAACGGTTACAGGATTTGGGTTTGGCTAGTCTAGAGAAAAGAAGGCCTAAGGGACGTGGTCGCAGGATTCCGGTATTTGAGGGGCTGCCATAAAGAGGAGGAATGGGTCAACTTATTTTCCAAAGCATCAGAGGGCAGGACAAGAAACAATGGGAAAAAAATTGTGGGCGCTTCATCGCTGGAGGTTTTTAAGAAGAAACTGGACAGCCACTTGTCTGAAATAGTATAGAGTCTCCTGCTTGAGCAGGAGGCTGGACTAGAAGACCTCCAAGGTACCTTCCAGCTCTATTTTGATTGATTGGTTGAACTTCAGGATGATTCTGGGTGTTGAAGTTCACATATTTTAAAGTCGCCAATGTTGAGAAACACTGACTTAATGAGGCCATTAAAGCCTTAGAAAGCCAGTTTGTTAAGGGTTAAAGATTCCAGGCTAGAAACCAGGAGGCGATGAGTTCTAGTCCTACCTTAGCCGTGAAAGCTGGCTGGGTGACTTTGAGCCAGTCAGGCCGATTCACCTCCCAGGGTCGTCGTGGGGAAAATAGGGGGAACAAGGAATATTAGGTATGGTTGCTGCCTATTTATAAAAATAATCAGGGTGGGATACAAATAAATAACTATTAGGTAATGCGGCAGAACCAAAAGGACTGGGCTTTTGAAAAACAAAGAGAAAGCTTTTCAAAAACATGGCTTATTTTTAGGAGTTGTTTACATTTCCAGAGCTTTGTGCAATACTCATGGTGTTTTTCTATTTGTCAGTATTCTTTGGCATTTTACAACATGTTATTAGTTGAGCTGACAGTTTAATTCCCCTGAACGTGTCTATTTGGGTTGGAGAATTTTAGTCTGATTGCTCAAATTCTCCTTTATGATGATTCCCAAATAGTCATCCCTAACTTGGAAGGGCAGGAATTGTAAACTAAAGAATTTGGTTCACATTCATCAGAGTAAATGGACCTAATAACTCTTATGGAATGCAAACTGTATTTGGATGGTGGTTTACACTCCTTTTATGGACCCGCACTGGGGACGCGGTGGCTCCGTGCATAAGACTCTGAGCTTGTCGATCAGAAAGGTCGGCAGTTTGGCGGTTCGAACCCCCAGCGCCGTGTTATGGAGTGAGCTCCCGTTCCTTGTCCCAATGGCTTCTGCCAACCTAGCAGTTCGAAAGCATGTGAAGATGCAAGTAGGAAAATAGGGACCCTTTTGGTGGGAAGGGAACAGCGTTCCATGCGCCTTTGGCGTATAGTCATGCCCGGCCACGTGATCTCGGAGACGTCTTCGGACAACGCTGGCTCTTCTTTGGCTTTGTAACGGAGATGAGCACCGCCCGCCAGAGCTGGAAACAACCAGCACGTACGTGCGAGGGGAACCTTTACCTTTAGACCCCCATTGAGACATTGTGATGCGGGTTCATCCCCAGTTCTTTGATGTTATCTTCCCCCGCTTCATTCTCCAGGTCCATATCCGTCTTGATGAAAACAAAAAATGGAAGCCCCGGACCGATTTGTGGAACTCCTTGCCAGTGAAAAAACAAGGTAAACTGGATGTTAAACGCGTTGCAGCTTGGCATAAAATACAGCGGTTGGTTTATTTGGCGGTTAACTTAGCATGTCTTTAATGATGAACGCTATGGGAGGCTAACGAAGTCTGTGGAGATCCTCACCCACCCAGGTCATAGTTGTGTCAAAGGTGCTTTTTCGAAAGACAACTGGATGACGTTTCTCCTTGAGGAACGAAGAAGTTTCACTTCTTGTTCAAGAAACCTCATCAGTCGGGACTGGGTGGTGGGATTACCTTTTCCTTCCATTGCCCCCCCCAAAGTCCTGCTAGAACCGATGAAGCTTCTCGGATGAGAAGTGAAATGTCTTCTTATTCTTCCTCAAGGAAAAAACAATCCTTTTGAAAAAGCACCTTGGAAAACTACAGCTAGTCTTTGACTTAACATAATTTCTATCGATAAGCGAGACGGATGTTAAGTGAATTTTGCTCCATTTCAACAACCTGTTTTTGCCACAGTTGTTAAATGAATCGCCGGAGTTGTTCAGTTAGTAAGATGGTTGTTAAGTGATTCTGGCTTCCCCATTGACTTGCCTTGCCAGAAAATCTCAAAAGGGGACCCCAGGGCACTGCAGCCATCATAAATATGAGTTGCCAAGCATCTGAATTTTGATCACAGGACAGTGCGGATGCTGCAATAGGCATGTGAAAAACGGTCATAACTCTTTTTTTTTTTTCAGTGCCGTTGTAACTTCGAATGGTCACTAAATGAACTGTTGTAAGCCGTGGACTACCTGTATTGGAGACCGTTTCTTCCTTGGGCTTCTATGCATCAGTAGTTATTGTGGCCCACCAGCGGCTAGTGGAGCTGGCGGAAGACTCGGACAGTGAGGAGGTTGGGGAGGAACATGGGCCAGTCCTGGAGTTTGGGGAAGGCTCTGACGAGGGCTCTGCGTTGAAGGCAGAGATGGGGCCAGGGCCGTCTGGCAGTCATCAGTTGCCTTCGGAGTCTGAGATCAGTGGGACAGAAGAACAGCTGGAGCCTGTTTCCGATGTGCGCATGCACAGAGCTGCCAGATGAAGGGAACAGCTAAGGAACAAGGGTTGACTCGGGAGTAAAGGCACAGGTGGACGGTGAATGGCCTCTCCCATAGGGAATAAAGAGGAGCGAAAGGGAAGTGGTATTAGTAGGAGACAATTAGTTCATTTAATTAGGGTGAAGATTTGTTCCCGACTCCTTGTCAAGTAATTGCTGCTACAGCGTGGCATTTGGAAGATATCGGCCTGGCAACTCTCCCAGCCTGATAAGGTCTGTGGTTGTAATTCCCCCTTGAAAGACTTGTTTGCCGGGACTTTGCTGGATGTGAATGAATTGATTTTGTGAAGCCTAGGTCAGAACAGTGGTGTCCTTTCCTGGACTGAGAAGTCTTAATTGTGGCCCTAGGTCGAGGACTACCAGTAGTAATAACACTGGAGAGAAAGAGAGTTGTAAAGTCCACCACAGCTGCGACTGTGTGCAACAAGCAAGACATTTGATTGCATGTAACCTATTGTGAGCTTTATGAGGTCGGTGGGGCAATTCAGGGGTACCACTCAGGTAATGAGGTAGGACAACGAAAGGTAACAGGGCTGTGAAAGAACGAGAGGCATATTCCATCAACAGAGCTTCTCTGCAGGAAGTTATTTTCCTTTGCTTTTCCGAAACAATGCTTGTTTGTTTTTTTTCTTTTTCTTCTTAAGTGGGCCTTGCCCTTAGTTCCTGGAACATTTGTAAACATGCCGTTTCAGAACACAGATTTCTTGGAAAAAGGAAACAAAAAAGAATTGGTTTTTTGTGTGTGTTTTGGTTCTGTTTGGATAATATTGCAGAGTAGCGTTAAAGTGGATAAGGCTTGCATGCAAGCAACCCTGGGAACAGAGCCCACAATTTTGATGTTGGATTTTAATAAATTGTGATGAGCTCAGCTAAATGACTGTCCATTATGGGCCTTTTGAATGGGCTTCGCTGATTGTACAGGTCGTTCTCGAATTGAGCCCAAAATTTCTGTTGTTAAGCGAGACATCTATTAAGTGAGCCCCCACCCCACCCCTTTTTTTTAAACAACCTTTCTTGCCACAGCTATTAAGTGAATCACTGCAGTTGTTAAATTAACGACACGATTGTTAAGCGAATCCGGCTTCCCCATTGACTTTGCTTTTCAAAAGGTCACAAAAGAGGATCACATGACCCAGGAACCTTGTAACTGTCATAAATACGAGTTGCCAAGCATCCTAATTTCGATGATGTGACGGTGGGGATGCTGCGATGGTCGTAAGTGTGACAAATGATCGTAAAGTCACTTTTTCAATCGCCGTTGTAACTTCGGTCACTACATGAACTGTTGTAAGTCAAGGACTACCTGTATAGAATTTCTGGCTAGTGTACTCTGTTTCCCTTTTGCGTGACAGCAGAACCAAATCAAAGTTGCATGTAGGGATGGCTTCATAGAGAAATCAAGTTTCCAGCGAATGAACCCAAAGAAATCTGAATTCTTAAGACTTGGATGCACCTCAAAGGACTTCTTTATTGAGGACACCATATCGGCACCTATTAAAGGAAACCCAACTCTAAATAGCTCCCACGGTTTCAGCATAATTAAAAGAAGAAATAAACTCAACCCCAAGCGTCACAGATCACATTTAGCCTATCCAGGCACTCCTTCCTTGATCTTATCCGTTCCCTGTGGAGATGACCTTGGTTGCCATGAGAAAGCTCTCTGTTATGTCTAGTAGGGTATTCCAACCTCCTTCCCCTTCTCCGTGGCAACTGAGGAATAGTAAAATGGCTTCAGCCAGGTTCGGTTCGAAGTTGACCCTGTGATGATGTTACTTAGTTGGATAATGAAAAGTATGCAAAAAAAGGCCCAGAGAGCACAAAGGACTCTACTCTTGTAAAGATCTGATGTGGGCCAGAGAAAAGATATAAAATTCTACTTAGAGTAACAGGGTTGAAAGGGACCTTGGAGGTCTTCTAGTCCAACCCCCTGCTTAGGCGGGAAACCCTACAGCAGAGGTTGCCAACCTTTTATATACCTCAGGGACACCAAACTCATAATTTTAAATCCCGAGGATCAGAGACCCTGGGAAAATCCCCCAAAAAGTCTGCAGGAAAATTCCCCATTCCCGTTTTCCTACGGATCAATCGTTCTTTATTTGGGATCGCAGGATACCGTCTCCAGCTCCGTTCTCACTGGGAGAGAGAAAGAGAGACTTTTGGCTTTATGCAAAGAAAGCAGCAGAAGCAGCAGAAGTCTTTCTTTCTCTCCCCCAAACTCTGCCAGAAATGAGTCTTTGCCGGCGCAGCCTCTTGGAGCAGGAGGCCTTGCAGGGTGCCAAAGGCTCATTTCTGGCTGAGTTTGGGGGAGAGAAAGAAAGACTTCTGCAGCTTTCCTTGCATGCAGCCAAAAGTAGAAGAAGAAAGAATTGGAAAGAAGCAACCCAGTGGCCAGGCTAGGCACGTGGGGCAAGTTTCCTCCCTCCACCCTTTCCCCCCTTCCCTCACTACCTCGTGTTGTTCGCAATGCAAACGACGCAAGCCTTTTGTTCCCACGGGCCATGTGGGCGGCGCAGCCTTGTGTTCCCGCGCAGCCTGGATTAATTGCTTTGGGGGTGACCTTTCTCTGCGGACCACCAAAATTTTCTCATGGACCACCAGTGGTCCCCAGCCCACTGGTTGGCGACCATTGCCCTACACCACTTCAGACAAATAGTTGTCCAATCTCTTTTGAAAAAACTTCCAGTGTTGGAGCACTTACAACTTCTGGAGGCAAGTTGTTCCACTGATTAATTATTTTGTCAGGAAATTGTTCCTTAGTTCTAAGTTGCTTCTCTCCTTGATTAGTTTCCACCCATTGCTTCTTGTCCTGCCCCCAGGTGCGTTGGAGAATAGCTTGACTCCCTCTTCTTTGGGGCAGCCCCCGAGATATTGGAACCCTGCTATCATGTCCCCATCAGCCCTTCTTTTCATCAGACTAGACATACCCACTTCCTGCAACCATTCTTCATATGTTTTAGCCTCCAGCCCCCTCATCCTCTTTGTTGCTCTTCTCTGCACTCTTTCCAGAGTCTCAACATCTTTTTTACATCGTGGCGACCAAAACTGGATGCAGGATTCCAAGTGTGGCTTTACTAAGCCCTTATAAAGTAGTATTAACACTTCACCTGATCTTGATTCTATCCCTCTGTTTATGCAGCCTAGGACTGTGTTGGCTCATATTTATTATTGTATTGCATTTAGTTCTTCCTAGCTAGATTAGCAAAAACAAAGTTATTCCAGTTTAATAGATGCTCGACATGTAAAAGCATGCAAATCACTACTTTCATCTTTAATTTTTTTCATTCATTGGATACAGGGAAAATCTTGAGCTACTGGTGTTTCAGCCCTGGATTCAGCATGCAGGAATTGGTTCGCCAGGGAGTCCGCAGCATCATTCTGACGAGCGGGACCCTTTCCCCGCTATCCACGTTTGCTTTGGAGATGCAGATGTGAGTCCTGCTTTATTTCCTTTTTTGAATTAATTAAAAATAATAATCAATAGGATGCTTCAATCAAGGTGACTCCAAAGTGGGTGTAAAGGCAGCTGCTGCTGAAGCCCAGGCGGTAGCAACAATATTAAGTATTTATTAGAGCCGTGGCGGCGCAGTGGATAGAATGCAGTATTGTAGGCTGATTCTGCCCGCTGCCAGGTATTTGATCCTGACTGGCTTAAGGTTAACTCAGCCTTCTGTCCTCCTGAGGTCGGTAAAATGAGGATACAGGTTGTTAGGGACAAGATGCTGCCATTGTAACCCACGCAGAGAGGGCTTGTAAGGTTTACAGTCAGTTGTCACACTTATGACCATCGCAACATCTCCATGGTCACATGATCCAAATTCAGGCGCTTGGTAACTGGCATATATTTATGACAGTTGCACTATCCTGGGGTCATGTGATCAGCATTTGTAACCTGCTGTCTTAATCCTCTTCCTGTCCACTGGACATTCCAAGCTCCTCTGGTCTCTTTGCTCTCTGGGAAGCAGCCTCTCTCGCCTGGGAATCCAGACTACATTCCACCCCATCATGGGAGCTAGGAAGCTTGCCTTTTCCATAGGAGCCCATACCCTGTGGAAATGTTTGCGTTTTTTTTCCATCCCAACATTGGATACGGAGAGGTGGTGTGAGAGGCTTTAACGAGGGATTCTAGGTTGCATGTTTCACTTTGGAGCAAGGGCTTTAATGTTGATGGTTTTATTATATTTATGCATTATTGTATTATGAATATCCTTTTAATTGCTGATTGAGAGCTTCCCAGAATTCAGTATAAGATGGTCAGCTTTGTTTGTTTGTTTGTTCATTCTTTGTGTGTTTAATGTTTATGGTTTTATTTTACTTTATTTCTAATATTCAGTTAACAGATAACATAATCAGAGTTGGAAGGGACCTTGTAGGTCATTTAGTCCAACCCCCTGCCCAAGCGGGAGACCCTACACCATTTCTGACAAATGGCAGTCCAATCTCTTCTTGAAAGTCTCAACTGATGAAGCTCCCACAACTTCAAGGGCATCTTCTGTTCCATGGGTTGATTGTTCTCACTGTCAGAAAGTTTCTCCTTATTTCCAGGTTGAATCTGTCCTGGTTCAGTTTCCATCCATTATTCCTTGTCTGGCCTTCAGGTGCTTTGGAGAATAGCTTGACCCCCTCCTCCTCCCTGTGGCAGCCCCTCAAATATTGGAAGATACTATCCTGTCTCCCCTTCTCTTCACTAGACTAGCCAGGCCCAGTTCTTGTAACAGTTCTTCATGTTTTAGTCTCCGGTCCCCTAATCATCCTGGTTGCTCTTCTCTGTACTTTTTCGAGAGTCTCAACATCTTTTTTATAATGTGGTGACCAAAACTGGATGCAGTACTCTAGGTGTGGTCTTACTAAGGCTTTATAGAGTGGTATTAGTACCTCCCTTGATCTCAATTGTATCCCTCTGTTAATACAATTTAGGATTGCATTTGCTTTTTTGGCTGCTGCTGCACACGGCTGGCTCCTCTTTCGCTGGTTGTCCACTAAGACTCCCAGATCCCTCTCACAGTTCCTGCTATTGAGTCTGGTTTCACCCAGTCTATATGTGTCCTTTGGGTTTTTCTTGCCTAAGTGTAGGACTTTACTTTTCTCTACATTGAATTTCATTTTGTTAGATACGGCCCAGTGTTCGAGTGTGTCAAGATCCATCTGGATCTTGAGCCGATCTTCTTGGGTGTTAGCTATTCCTGCCAGCTTAGTATCATCTGCAAATTTGGTAAGTTCCCCTTCTATTCCCTCATTTAAGTCGTTCATGAAGATATTGAAGAGTCCTGGGCCTAAGACAGAACCTTGTGGCATCCCACTGCTTACTTCCCTCCATGGAGACTTAGACCCATTCAGGTCTACTCGTTGAGTACGGTTTGTCAGCCAGTTGCGAGTCCATCTAGTGGTGGTGTTATCTATTCTTCTAATTGCTGATTGGGAGCTTCCCAAAGTTCAGGATAAGACGGTCAGTTTTACTATTTTGTTTTACTATTTTATTTTATTTAATGATATATACCATAGTTCAGGGGTTCCCAACCTGGGGTGCTCGCACCCCCTGAGGGTGCAAGACGATATTCCATGGGGTGCGAGAAAAGTCCAGGTAAATAATAGGATATTGGCTATATGTTGGCATTTTTATTTATTATTTATTTCAGGGGGTGCGAGGTTCGAGTGAAATTTCTTTAGGGGTGAAAAAAAGGTCAGGAACCACTGCCATAGATGTACGCCCCGATCAAATGACTCTGGGCAGCTTAGAGATTGCAAAAAGATAAACAGAAAAGCAGTTAACATTTTAAAATTGTGACTCTATTGTTTTATTTTTATTGTTTTATTCCCTCATTGTTTACCCAGAGGGGGGAAGTTTCCCGCTCCCCCCTCCGGTGTTATTGTTGTAAGCAACCCAGAATAGCCCCACAGCAAGTTGGGCAGCAAATACATTCCACACATAAATAAACAAATTAACAAACAAATAAATGCAAATGCTTTAAATAAGTAAATATAGTCCCAATTTGAATAGAGGTCTTGCAGTTAAGGCACCAGACTAGAAAGCCAATGAGTTCTAGTCCCCGCTTAGCTATGAAAATGCGCTCTCTCTTTCTCTCTTTCTCTCCCTCCCCCTCTCTCTCTCCCAACCTGCCTCAGAGGGTTGTTGTAGGGAAAATAGGAGAAGGAGGTGTGTTTCATAGGTTCTCTACCTTGAATAATTTGTAAAAACAATAAATTTATTTATCACAAATAAATAAATACGTTTTAAAAGCCGTACAGCAAAATCCATAGCCAAGGTATTCCCGCAACCATTGATAACATTCAATGCAACCGCTGCTCTCCTGGTCCCCACATGATGGCGACCTACAATAAAACAAATATATCTGAGCGTCTGTGGAGATTCTCAAGTTATCCAGCTCACGGTTTGTCCCAAAGATGCTTTTTTTTCCAGAATGCAACTGGACTTTCTTTTTTTTTCTTCTTCTTCTTCTTTTCCTTGAAGGCGTTTCACTTTTTCTCATCCAGGAAACTTCTCGTCCAGGTTTCTTGGGTGAGAAGTGAAATGTCTTCAAGAAAAAACAAAGTCCCTTTGCCTCTTGCAAAAGCACCTTCGGGACATGAATATTTAAGGTTTAAACCATTCCAAATAATGTGATATTTCTGGTCCTGGAAGCTCTCCAAGCCTTAATTCCCAGAGCTTAAAGATCTTCCAGGAAAACTTTTTCAAGGCTTCCTGAAGACCTTGAAAACTGGAGATTCCCTGGTCTTCCAGGGCAAGCTGTTGCAAATCAGCCTCCAGACACAAATCATCTATATAAAATAAAATGGTTTTGTTTGGAAGCAACTTTTGCCCCGGGGTTGAAATAATATTGACAGCAGCGATACTCAAAGAGGAAAAACTAAGGGATTTTCCACGGTTGTCACTATCTCCCCGGTTCCTGTTACAGAACAATGTGTTTGTTTGTTTCTGCAATTGTCAAGAAATCTTATTGCCTGCCCATTGTAATTGCTAGACATTGTTGCAACTCAGACTTGGCTCGCCAACACTCAGTAGTGCTGTGCCCGGAAATGTCATTAGAACACCTGAAGGTTTTATCGTGCCTGGTGGACTTGTAAAAAAGCCAGAAATGTCTGGGTTCAAATGCAGATAGCAATAGAAAGAATTGTAAAACTCAACTTTAAGTTCAACTTTACTTACTGGGATTAATGGACATTAATCCGGTCCAAAAGGACCCTGGGAGATTATTCTTGTTTGTTTGTTTGCTGATCTCCTTCAAATATGCATTTATACTTGATCACTGTTACGGGAATATTATATGTTGTTCAGTCGCTCAGTTGTGTCAGACTCACGACCCCATGGTCCACAGCACACCAGGCTCCCCTGTCCTCCTCTTGGGCCACCCAAAGGGGCTTATTTCCCAGGCTTCAATCACTTCCTATGCTGTTTTTGTGCCTGCATGTATGTATGCGTTAAATTTTGCAGCTACTAAGATTGTTCGGTTCAATTTTGCAGCTACTAAGATTGTTAGACGAGCAGGCACAAAAACAGCCTGGGAAGTGATTGAAGCCTGGGAAACAGCAGCACCCCCCCGCCCATCTGTCAACAGGAGTGCTGATTTATCAACAGCTTATCAAGTACTTTTAGGGACGCGGTGGCTCAGTGGCTAAGACACTGAGCTTGTTGATCAGAAAGGTTGCAGTTCGGCGGTTCAAATCCCAGCGCCGCGAAACGGAGTGAGCTCCCATTACTTGTCCCAGCTTCTTCCAACCTAGCAGTTCGAAAGCATGCAAAAAAAAAATGCAAGTAGAAAAATAGGGACCCCTTTGGTGGGAAGAGAACAGCATTCCGTGCACTTACAAAGGCGTTTAGTCATCCCAGCAACATGACCACGGAGACGTCTTCGGACAGCGCCGGTTCTTCAGCTTTGTAATGAGGATGAGCACGGCCCCCCCTAGAGCCGGAAACGACTAGCATGTAGATGTGAGGGGAACCTTTACCTTTAGCTATCAACTATTTAGGATGCCAGCACAGGAAAACAACATCTAATGACTTAAAAGCCAACCACCAACACACCCCAATCAACATCAAAAAAGGTACCATATAAATAACACACATAGAACAGCCCAAAGCTTTACACATCCTGCGGGAGAGAAGTACATTGAGTTGGAAAGCTCAGAAGAGTAAATCTCTGGTCCCGGTGACTGACCCAGACTGGATCCTGCAACATTACCTCAGCCATGTACAGGTTGATTTATGATGTGTGGTTTTGCATGCTGCCTGCATCCTGCCGATGGTTTAGTTTACTTTGTTGACATTGCACCTCATACAACGAAATCAAACGCCATCTTCAGTGCACCTCATGACCATGAAAATAAACACAAACACACATCCTTCACACTCTACACATTGAACCGAAAATGGGGCTTCACTTGTTTGCCTGAACTGGTTTCCGGCATGCCACGG